TTCATGGTAAATTTCGTCGGTTGTTCCATCTTTTTTTCAGACATTCTGGAAGGGAAAAAGAGGGATTGTAAGTGCATGTCTGAATGCACGACCGAAAATGAAAAATAATTTCCTACACACGCGTCCGGTTAACATGCAATAGGGTTGGGACAATTTTCGCACAATGAATTTTTGTATGTACACATATATGACCATGTTAGTGAACAAATGTTTGTTTTTTGTTTTTCTAAACACGATAATGCAAAAAATCGAGATAAAACAGTGTTACGTTGTGTCTTACGTGGATTGTTCGTTCAAGCGTCCAAAAAAACCCTACTATTCTTGCAGAACGCGTTTTAGGTCAGATGTTGAATACTACCATAGTTTCTTCATGACTATTGATTATCAACTGAGGTATCGTAATTGTGGAGCTTGTGTTGTTTGGTTGTGTTGGAGAAAAGCCAACATCAGTAGGACCCACTTCTAGGCACGCGATTCTAAGACGATCAATGCTGATGTTGTCGCTAGTCCTGTTCTTATAGATGATATAGTACTTACATGTACGATGAAGGACTTTTAAGAGTCATTCGTATGCCATTTTGAGAGGTCGTCGTGATACTACGTGATGTACGAGGACGTGTGTACTATATCGTAATTCAGGTCGAACGAAAACATCAGTTGTAAGATCTAAACTAAGGTTTGGATTGAAGAATAGCTGTCTAGGTGAGTTAGATACGCGCCCTTGCTCGGTTGAAGCCAAAACAAAGTAATTGGGTAAAATGACGGTTCTATAATTCATCATAAATTCAACTGTACACCGTTACCTTAACAAAAACGACCACCCAGCCAACCAATAATTGTTCAAGTAATCAGATCTAAATTACAATAAATAAGGAAGCTGATAAAGGATGCGAGAAAATTACCAATCACAATAAATAAATGTTCTTCTATCCTGTCTGGATAGACTACGCACAGATTCGTTCAAAAGATAATATTTGGTTGCTTTATAACACAGAGTGTTTCCAATTCTGGAAGAGTGCCTCAATTCACAACCAGAAATGCACAATTCCAGTCAATACAAGCAACAAAATCAAAAGGAGGAACAAACCAATATGACTGCCGCCAAGACTAGATACCAAGTAAAACAACATAAATGCAGTCCAGGAAGAAACACGGAAACTTAGTGAAGGCGTAAGAAAAGCAAAAACTATAATAAAATACAAATATTAACAACTCAACTGGAATAAAAAAGACTGACAATGTACAACTAAAGGAATTAATAGGAGCAAACTGCAAGTGTATACATAGAGGGAATTTCACACACAAAACATTCAAAATGGATCCTACATCAGTTACCTACGATCGAGTGGGAACGAGCTTAACTGAACGCACGGCGTTTGTGAGCCCGTTCATGTAGGAGTTTGGACTCACATTCATCAAAGAAGATGAAAGATCAACGTATTCTTCAGGAAGCCGAGGAATCGTTCTATGAGCGAGTTGCACTATGGTGAATCCGAAATAAAATTCTTCCGTTTTCTTTTTTGATGCACTCCTGATGATAACGACGAATGCCTTTCGTCATGGAGTGCTTGTTTCGTTTCCGCGTATATTACGAATGGGTTCTTCACGTTGTCGTCTTAGTTGATGATTTCCACATCTACACGAAGTCGATCTGTCAAGGGTCTCATGTGGGACGCGTAATTTGGTATGGACCGTTGCTAAGTTAGAGGTTGGAGAAGCTAGAGAGACCATTGGAACTTATTTACTTCTTCGTTTCTCGTGGTCTAGCTAGAGATCTTCGCGACGGGCTCCTTCAGGAAGTCTAGAAGTGTCTGTGATCATGACAAATGTCGAGAAAGCAATTAAGGGTATTATGTATATCTCTAATATTATATCGCGTTGCTACAGCCTTTTCTTTGACAAAACGAACGTTGGTGTTTAGGGTCCCGGTGATTACAAGAAGTCGTTCGACAGATGCAGTTAGACCGTCTATGGCGTTATTTGGGAATAATACAAGAACGGCATGAACCTGTTGGGGAAGATTAGATGAGAAGAATTTCTCAAAGGAGTTCTCGTCAAATGTTTGTTGATCGATGGGCTCCCACGTACACAGTAACGTTTCCGTCGCTGAGACGTGTTTAATTGTATATTTTCGAAGAAATGATATAAACTGTTGATCTGTTAAGTGTTTTCGTTTAAAGATAGCCTCTTTTCAAAGTGAGCACACTGTGTATGACGTACCGGTTGAAATCGCCCAGAAGCGACTTCATTATTGTGAGGAGTCGTGCATGTCAGTTTATCACGCTACGCCGGTGAAAGTCAGTTTCTGCGTTGTAGATCCAGACTTTAGTATTGCCAGGCCAGAACAACATGATATGAAAAATGGTAGGAATAAGAGTTTTGTACTTTAACCAAAATACAAACTATTAAGATCTTGTGGTGGACCAAAAATTATATTATTTCAAAAACAGCAATAAACTTAAAACATCCAGACGTTAATATTATATTATACAAATTATAAATTATAAACGCAAATAAAATCTAAGAGACGTTACTTAGATCGGCAGATTTGTGCGTGTTCGGTTGTGCCTGATACCAGAATCCACAATTACAGATAATTATTAATTCCAATGAGTTTGTTGTGGTCCCAGTGATATAGCCAAGCATAGGATATCATGGAAATGTAGCCGCAGTCTATGAAAGGTGATGATAAATGTTTCAGAGTTTGGCTATCGTAGCCACAAGCAACGGAGAACAAAAGACTTGTGTATAGTAGTGTATTTATGAGTGGTTAACAACGTGCGTGATGCAAAGAGTGTTACACAACGAAAGAATGTGTGTTCAAGGTCATACACTTAAACAACATGCACAATCATTTTGTGGTAAATGTACAGACTGCAAAAATTAACAAAATGAATGCAAACAATATCAAAAGCTATTCACAAAATAGGTTAGTCATCCTTATTTCCACAATTTCAACGGTACACTCGTCAGTACAGAAAACTGAGCTGCTACAGCTCATGCGAATGAGCGACTTCACCTAGATGGACTTTTGTCAAGGATTAAGGCGAATTCTTCAACATCAAGAAGCGAGATGAAAAATAACCCACCCTACACGAATTCGTATGAAAATATTTTCTAATAAATTGACACGCCGTTTTACCCTACTGCACAAGGCCATCTTTCATCAGCGGGGTTTGGATTTCAATGATGAAATGAGAGATAGGTTGCTTGTATTGTTATTACTCGGTGTAGGGGTTATCAAAGTATGTAAGTTTAACGTTAGTTGATAATTTGAAAACCATGCCAGATGAGGAGTACGATGAGGAAGAAAAAGATGAACGTGACCCTATGGAACTAATTAAACATAAGCATAGTAAAAGGGATTTGGATTCTGTTGAAAAAACTGTCTCAAGCCCAATACCAATTGAAGAAGAAACAATTGAAGCAACATCTAGAGGCCTATCACCTAGACTGCGAGTTAAGTGCAAAGATATCGAAGACGAATGTTCTTGCAAGTGAGTAAGGTAGTTAACACTATCACGGTCTAGACGACTTTTGTGTTTTGGCCCAAATAGCTGTGAGCGGATAAACAGCTATCCAACCGAAGTACTCCCACGCAATGCCACGGAATTTGTGTGGTTACATCGCTGTCGCCAAACATATTTAATGGGACAGAATTTGTGCGAATGCAAGCGACTATTATTCCATAAGGAGGATGTCAAGTGGCTGACTCCAGAGTCTACAAGCTTGTCTTTATTACAGCTTTGATAACATTCAGCCTGTATGTACAGAGTTTGGGCTTACATACTTCTATGCATTTATTTGAGTTTAAAATCCTGTGTTTACTTTCTTTATAATTTAACTTTTAGTGAAGAGACTTGCATTTATGGTGTAAAAACTTTAGTTTTTGTCAGTATAGTTGTCTTCAAAATTCTTTCTAGTTTATTTGTTCAGTTATTTCAGCCGTCTATTTGATTGACTGAAAAGTTTATGACCAGATTATTCGAATTGTACTTTACAAATACATCAAGTATCTAAAACCAGTTTTATCTTTTTATTACAATTGGGACTCATGAAGTGGACTAAATTTTTCAGTGTCTACTCTTCATTATGTTTTGTACAGGAATGGATATGATATCCCTGTCAAGAAAGGTGGCTATAATTACAGGTAACTGTGGTATTTTAATGCTGCATCTGCTAGCGAAATGCTTACCTTAAAACTAATGGGCTAAGCACTTGTTACAGTATTACGAAACTTTATGTTACGATAAGACTTGTTGCTATTTGTGACATTCTGATTCCCCCATCTTTCTGTGTTGTACCATATTATCTATAGTAACAAAACACCTACCGGCCTCCATGCTCATCTTTTGTTTGGACTCACTAAGGTCCTTGGCAATCTCAACCCTGTAAGTGTGAAAATGTGGGGGTTTTCGTCACAACATTCAAGTCAAGTGAACATACTACTGCACAGCTCCGGACGGCTGTCAGTGTCTTCTGTAGAATATGGTGGTAGGCATTCCTAGAATGGTATTTCATTTAATGTTAGTATTTATCCCATGTTTTACTTGGACTTTTGTAGCTTCCCGCCTCTGCTCTTTCGGGATGGAATTCAAGGATTACAAAAAGGTTGTGTGAAACTCCCCTCAATATGTATTCGTTGCAATATTTGGTTTGTCAATAAACTTGTTAATGTGTAGTGCATAAATGAATCTTTTGAGGCACCACCTTTCCATCATGAAAGCTATAGTACAGCACTTCGTGTTCTGAGAACGGGGTAGTTAGTTTGGGTACGTCAGTTTACAGTGGTAAAGCTACATTGAAAGATTAGTATGGTTTGCAGACTATGATATCTGGGTGTTATACACTAAGCTATTCCATAAAATTGTACATGGTTAATGCGTTTGACGCAGTCTGACGTAATCACATACGAACTTGATGACGTTAGATATTGAACACAACCCAAACACTGCCAAGTTTTGCTGCTAGTCTTAGTACGTGAATGATGGGTTTTCATCGTAATTCTTAGAAAATTTCGGTTATTTATAGGTGTGTACGTACCCATCGCCCATACAAATTTGTCCAGAAAATTACAAATATATGAGAACTAAAATTAGTCTTACTTTCTTTCCCTTAGGAGCAAGTTCAGGAATCGGAAGAGCGACAGCTATTTTGTTTGCAAAGCTGGGAGCGTGTGTTGCTTTGGTTGCTCGGGATAAGTCACGATTGGAAGAAACTCGACAAGCATGCATCCAAATATCTCACCCTGACGTTTATGAAAAGCACAAAGAGCCTTTTTTGTGCATTGAGGCTGATTTGGCTGAACCATGTGAAGTTGAGAAAGCATATCGATTGGCAATAAATCACTTTCACCAACTTGATATATTGGTAATTTAACTCTTTAATCTGCCACTGATTTCTCATGTCATATTTACGTGGGTAAATAGTCATTTTATTTGTATTAACTACTTACTTGACGGACGTTTATTTATTCACATTTATTTATTCGGTCTTAAACGTTTGTGAAATATAGCCCTAAGAATAATCAGATGTGGATGAACAATTAATAGGCTGTCACTGCAGAATAGAGGAACTCTGACATAATTCATTACCTGCCAATGGTATGTGTTATTCTGTTCATTGTATTTACCAGTATTGAGATTGTAAGAACTTCTAAAACCATAATTTCCTGATCTTCATCTTCCATAATTTTATCATTATCTTAATTATTTATTTGAAACTGTATTTACTAAAACTATCGACTCCAAACAAAATGGATTCCAGTTTGTACTACCACACTTTGAGTTGGTAAATAAGAAGTTCCAACGGGATGTTCACTGACCAATAGTTTTTGCCAAATCACTCCATCGTATATTAGAATAAACAATTTTAAGAATTACAATCATTAAGTGTCCAGAAAATGTTAAATGCTAGTCTGTCACATGGTAAGTCAACTATTTCATCCCATTATCTTCTCATTTCTTTAACTCTCACTGGGCAAATTGAAGGCTGTAAGTCAATCATAGAGCGTTATAATTAAAAATAAATGATTTCATGAGTGATTTAGTTAATGAGGATGTTCTAAAACGATTGTTTTTGAGTTTCCAAAACTACCATATCCATGATATGAATTACGTATGTCGGAATTATATTTCAGTCCCAAGACTGATTTACCATATTTCACGTATTTCAGTCAGCTACAACGTAGGACTAGGCACATATATGCATCGTTCCAAGTTGTCACACCTCGTTAGCACAACATGATGAACACTAAATTCGCAGAAGTAGTTAATTCAATGGTAGTAATATATAAAAGGAACATGCATAGGGATATAGTACAGGAAGAAATAATCAGTTAGTAAGAGACAAAGGGTGTGTAAACGTACACCATTGTGATTGATTTTGAACCATGTAACCCATAGTCTCCAACCATTGGTTACGATAGTCAAACAGACCCCAACCAAGTAGTCTGCATCAACCAAAATGGCTCAGACTAGAAGTTAGTGACTTAAAGCACTGAAGCCACGTTTTGGTTTGGCCGCCCCTAACTTTCTACCATCCTTCTCCGACACTAGTCAGCATTGCGCTTCGTGGTAATTGGTGTTCAGACATACGTCGCACGTGGCCTAACCATCGCAGCCGATGAAAATTCACAACCTCATCATTCCTTAATTAACACACTGCGTCTCGCTTTCGTCATGGGTGACGCAAGTTGGCAAAAGCCAAACAAGCTTTTTGAATCGTACAGATTTCGTCAGACACCAACCCATTAGGGCTGATCAGATTCCCAAGATAAGTGGAGTTGTCTACGCGTTCGACTACTTCACTCCCTATCCTTAGTTCAGGTATTGACTGAAGCAGGCCATTCGTGAAGCAACAACTTGCATTTAGAGTGGGAGAAATGCATCCCAAACATCCTGGCATTGTTGTTCAGTGCTACTAAAAGATTCTACATTTTATCAGCGTCTTCACTAGACAGGACTATATCATCTGCGTATTCTAAGTCGATAAGTGGACCTCCCGGAAATTCAGTCGACGAAAGCGCTATTTCCAGTAGCAGGTCTATGATGAAGTTGAACAAAAATGGAGAAAGTGGACAGCCTTGACGGACACCACTTGAGGTTGCAAAAGCAGATGATAGTTCGCCATAAGCTCTGACTTGACTGGTAGTATTCAAATAAAGAGCCTTTATAAGGTTTATTTACTTCTGAGGCACACTTCAATGACAGACACTGCCACAAGACCTCTTGGTCTACAGTCAAATGCTGCTTTTAAGTCAAGAAAAACTATCATTGTCGGATGCCGATAAGCATGCCTGCTGACTTGTAGACTTCAGCCACATGGTTCTGAAGTCTACTCGAATTCTATCACCTGTGGAACTGGATACATGCTTGACATTTCAAGATGTAGTACCAGCGTTCTAACGCATCATGAACTTGAAACACGTCAGGAAAGTAATTATAAACAGGAAATGTAAATTCAATGAATGTCTTTGACCCGTAATCAAAGCAACAATAGAGATTTCACAGTACCACCGTTTGATCACGTAAAACCAAGTGAAGACCTTTTTCCAAACTATCAAGTATTCCGGTTACTTGATTGAAAAGGTGGTCCTGGTGTCGATTTTGATTATTATCAACACAACTAAACAAATGCCTGTTACATAAGATCTTGGCACTTAACGTTCATTTTTTAGTATGATCAGTTTCTACAGTGAAATTGGTAAGTCCTGATTACGTATACTGCTTAAATAGCGATAAAATTATTAAAGTTATTATTAAGGTGATGTAAATCCTCAGCAAAAAACCTTGAAATTTTCTTGTTTGTTATCAGGTTAATTCCTAGCGACCTTTATGTGTTTGCGATTCTCTTACAAGATAACATTTTTAAACAAATATTTTAGGTAAATAACGCAGGATATATGATAAGAGATACTGTCGAAAGCTTTAATGCTACTGAATATGAACACATAATGAAAGTGAATGTAACTGCTGCGATTACCTTAACTAATTTGGCTATCCCAGATCTTGCTGCTTCCAAAGGTTCCATCGTCAATGTATCTAGTGTCTGTGGAAAACGTTCAGTGAGTTCAAAATAGTTACTTTGATGTTGTCCAGTTTATGATCTTTTGTTTGTTATTGCATGTAATCTATTCATTTCATTACTATAACAGTCAATCACAGGTAATCAACATGAAGCCTCGCAAAAATATGGATCAGCCAAAGTTATTTGTTATTACCGCATCAACATAGTGAAATGATATAAACAATGTAATCGATTCTGACTTATGTTATCTGACGTCTCTGACCACCGGTCCAGGTTATCCCGTGAATCCATACTAGGTACCCGTCATCTAACAAGTCATATTTCAATCATATAGACTGATGACTTGTATGGGTTTGATCATCCCTAATTTTTATTCAACCCATTCCTGCTATAGTTAAAATTGCACATCCAAGTAGGTAGTGGTTGGGTGTACGTAACTTACATCCCATTAATCCTATTAGATAAATATTACACCTATATATAATCAATACATCACGTGAATTCCTTTATTACCAATCGAAATACTAGAAGACGAAAGAAGTAGTTACGATTTTTTTTATGATTTTGATCTACTACATGTACTAGTGAAATGCAAAACTACAGTTAGACAGTTTGCGGATTTCAGTAAGCATTAAACAAAGACTTTTGATATAAAACTAAATCACGGTATTATTATAAAATGACTTGATCTGAATGGTTAAAGCCATAACGATAACTGGTGAGCGAAGAGTGGGCTTACAATTAGAAATGTGTGATAATCCCAAAAAGTTAAATTAATACCTCTAAAAAACACGTCGACTCATTTAGTGAAGAGCGACTACCTAGGTCTTATACTTTTCCTTTCTTATTTCTCAAACATTGGATTTTGAAGTTTAATTAAATGACACATACTGCTTTACAGTTTAATATTTTAGTGTTATCACCGACTACTTAAAAACTACTTTATTAGTTAGTAAGTTACAGTTTTATTCAAATAAAATTACCCATAATTATTAAAAATTAATTTATTGCCATCAAGTTATGTACTTCACAAGGCAGATGTTATCGTTATGACTTTTTCTAGTGTTCAAAAATTACATGGAGATTTTATTGAAGTGTGGCTTGAGGGCATTAAATTATGTTTTATGACAATATTTAAAATTAAATTTGCATTTCTGTTTCTTTTGCTTACAGTTTCCTGGAGTAATGTCTTATTGCATTAGCAAAGCAGCGTTGGACCAATTCACTAAATGTACTGCATTAGGTAAGTAAAGCTAACTTTTGTGCAAAATTCCTGATAAAATAAAACAGACCTTTAAATAGATATAAACAGCGTTGAATAGTGAAAACTGTCTGTTTTACTATGAGTGTAACATTGATTGGTTGTTTGTCTATCGCTGTATAAAATGCACATTTAATTACATGGTATATTCTTCATCAGTTTGTTTTAATTCTAGTTCCTAACAATACAATACGTCAGGTTGAGATTCTAAAAATGCATATATTTACAGTTTGCGTAATACTTTCAACTAAGCATTTTCGATTTTAGATTGTATTTATAAATTGCACTCACAGTTTTGCGCATGACCATTTATTAGTTTTTTTTGGCTTTCTCGATGTGTTTTAATTTATGTAGTTTAGTACCTGATTTGTTAGAGGTTGCACTGACGTTAATGTAAACTATAGAACTACTGAATTAGATATCTAATTTATTGCTAAGTTACTGAAATGCAATAAAATTAGCTTGAATTTAAATCCAGATACTGTCATTCGAATACTTATGAGTATCTTATTAACCAGACATTGTGTACTCAAACATTTTAGCTTCACTCCATTTTGTATAAAGAAGGAAGAATTTGAAGCGCGACATTTTAATAGTATTTTACTTAGCTAATATATATTATTTTCTTTGCTTTCTTTAGATTTAGCTCCAAAAGGAATCCGAGTAAATAGTGTCAAGTAAGCGGTGTTATTCTTGCTACTTTGTGACTAAGTTTTTGAAATCAACAGAGGGGACAAACGAAATAAGATGAAAAAAATCAAACTTCTAAAAGTCATGATTTATGTTTTGGCTGTACTACATGTAACCGGTGATTTTTTGAAGGTTACGTACTCTAAGAATCTCTATTAAAGCACCTTAGGAACTGTTATTGCTTGTGCCATCTGTAGATAGAAGCATTCTCACTATCGCAGTGTGATTATGAAGACCGCATGTGGTTTGTTTCTTCTATCCACTCTTGATACCGTGCAGTCACTGTCATAACTACATAAATAGCCGGGGGATATTCCACAACACGGCCCTCAGAATTCGAGGACCAATATACACTTTTTGAGCCGTAATAGGTGTGAGAAGCGTTCAACGAAAGGAAAAAGCCTAACTGATCCATCTCTAGCCTCAACTAAAAGTGGCCTGTTCGGAGCGATAAAATAATGAACTGTCACCACTTTGACTTGAGATTGTTCATGTAGATTACTTCATGCAAGTACATAAGCATGCTTGACCAATCACAACACATATTTTTTGTGATTGAAACGTTTCATGAGACTGTTGTGTTTTTATTCATCAAAAGGATTAACTTTATCAAATCATGATGCATTTCGTTCCGGTGTTTCTTTTATCATTAGTGACAAGATCATCTCTTTCCGATATGCAGTTCTTTTTTAATTAATGCGCTGTTGTAGACACTTTTTTCATCCAAACAGTAATGTGATTCGATTCAACCAGGACCAATATTTTTACTACTATTCCGACATCGAATACGTTTTAGTGTAGGCGTTATGAATGGTTCACATTTCATGCTGAAATACACTGTTTATTTTGTATAAGCTATATGAGTCAGTTGATAGTTGCATATAAAGCAAATGTTAGTTTACTGATAAGTGTTGTTATAAACGACCAAGTAAATTAGTTTGTTACAACCAATTATTTCAGTTTGTTTTCTTATACTGCAAACAGCTATGTGTAATTGTTATGGTGAATGATTAATAGCAATATCAGTGACTTTGTTCTTGGAAAGATTATGTATGAAAAGGCCTTTATCAATCAGAAAACCCGTCAAAATTTTATAATGGACGGTTTTGCTGATTGGAAGTTTATGGAAGTTCATCAACCTTTATTTCACCTTCAATGTTAATAAACGATGCATCTGATTCCCGTGAACGATTAATCAAAACATGTAGTTATTGATATTCGTCACGAAATTATGTTGGCCCGAAATCGTCGATTACACTGTTTTATTCACCATGGTTCACTTGTTACATATAATTAGTGTTTGTGATTACTCGTTATTTGTTCTCTTCGATAATCACTTGCATATTTAAGTTCAGTAACTGTTCATTGACCCTCTTAAATTCTACAGCCCAGCAGTTATTGTCACTGAACTGCATCGTCGATCTGGAATGTCTGAAAATGACTATGAGAAGTTTCTTTCAAGAGCCAACGAAACACATGCTCTCGGACGAACCGGAACTGTGGAAGAAGTGGCTCAAGCAATAGCTTTCCTTTCGAGTTCTGCTTCTTCCTTCACTACTGGTAATTTGCTAATGGTTGATGGTGGTCGATCTATCATGTGTCCACGCTAATGAACTTTATGTTTCCGAATATTACATGCTATTTCTTAAATAAAATGGGTCACTAACTTTAAATTTTTTCACTGGAGGTGTCTTCCTTGTGACCCATCACAGGTTGAGCATTGTAGATGTGGAGCAACATTTCAGTGGTTAAAGTGTTTCAATTTCAACTTTACATCATAGACTCCAGCCTCGCTCCACTTAGGTTTGGACAACCGGGCAGTATTCCTACCCCTCACACTTTGAAACGAAGCCAAGCACATGGATCTGTACGTGGTCAATCGGCTAATCGGATTTTTGCTCAAAGATTGAATGTTGACTTCCATAGAAGATTAAGTAATCTCTCTATATAGGTAGATAATTATGCAGAACGGCAATTCCGATCAATATAAATAGTTTTCATCGTCTGATGCAACTGAACAACTACATAGATTGTAAATTGAAATTCGCATGACTAATAAAATCTGTTTTAGCAACGGTGGAGAATAGTTTTCAGGAAGTATTGCATAGTGTTGTAAAATTCATTTGTATTCACCCGAATCTTTTATATAATGTTAGTGTGAATGCGCATACATGTACAATTAGTTTCGATAAAAAAAAACCAGAATTAAAGAACTAAAGACTGATCCAAACATGAATTTTAATGTTATCGCTAGTTTTAGCATCGTAAAGATCGCCCAAGAGAGACCAGATTATTTAAATTTGTTGGGACAACAAAGAGTATTGGTGTAGATGGAAGCGAATGTCTGCAACATTCCAAAGAGGTGTGCATGTTTAGTTGAGGATCATTATGGTATAATGTGTTCATCTGGGTAAGCAATTATTGATAGTATCATTATTACTATTATTATTATTATTATTATCATCATCATCATCAAAAAACCTATTAGAAACTTCCCCTTCGAAATATACTAAAACAGTCTAACGTTCACACTAATTGAAAAGTACCAGATACACAGAAAAATTGATAGTAGGCAAAGAAACGAAAAATTGTCTCGTGGTTGCTACATTTCGCAACAGCATACATGAAAAAAGAAAAATGATTTAGTGAATGATATGTTCAAAGTTTCTACTGGATACTGATCTGTGGTGGATAATCATTTCACTCTCAAACCGGATGCAAGGGTAAATCAGATTTGACAAAACGAAGTTTTTCCTCGATGTGCTCAAAAGTTGTTTTTTTCCTAGTTTTTGTTGAATAGAACAATGGAGTTACTAATAGTTGATATGTATCAGATTTTCATATGCATACAAAATGCATAAAACTAAGATGATTGCAAATTTCTGTTTTACTGTTGGTTAAGTATTAGTGAATCACACTGTATTTAGTAGGTCGTCTGAAATGTAACAACGTGATACAACTGGCATGATAGCATGGTTCAACAATCATTGTCTGCTTATACAGAAACCAATTTTTCAAATTCAGAACACGTAGAGATATGCTGAGGTGGTCTCATAATAATTTGCAGTAGCCAAAAGTTCTGTATACGGTTTTTTAAAAATAAACTATTGATACCTATTATAACATAGGAATTTCCTCTAAATCATAATCCATTAAAATGTCTACACAGATCATTTTTTCTCCCACCATATTTACACTCAAACCACTAGGTGTGTAAGAAATCCAGTTTTCTTAAAAAATATGGATTATTTAATGAGGGAAAGTGGGAAGTAGATATGTATTGGTAATAAAATCTAAGACGTGCCATTTAAAAGTTGAATGAATATGATTTTCAAGGTATTGTTTTTATGTTATAAAAATGTTTTTAATTTAGAACTCCACTGTCTTAGGTCCTCCACTGTAACCTGCCCTTGCAATAATGTCCTGAAATGAAAAAGAGGGATGTTTTAAAACTAATCAATCAAAATATGCATAGAGGTTGAAAGATTATTACGTTATTACAAATTTCCAATAGCTTAATGATTTTTTACGGTTAATTAAGTTTGACAACCAAGATATCTGTTGCGAGTGAATGACTATAGTCAATTATCAGTATCCAGATACTATTGACAGCTGTAATTAGAAGTTTACTGAAAATTATTCCCTAACTGTGGTTTATTTATACCTGACAAAAGAATTCTTTATCAAAACGTAAAAAGAATGCGGTTTGAGGACCGCCTACGCAAACCTAACGATGGACACAAGTAAGTTATCTCAATCGTCGTGCAGATGTGAAGTGTGACAGATTGTACGAAGATATGCGCGTGTCTCAGGAAGAAACTGCAGTTAGTGGGAATTATCAAGACATCCACCAGTTAATATAGTGACGTTATAAAAAAAGTTTGATAAGTCTCCTATGGTAATCGTCCGATGATTGTTTGCAAATTAGTAACCAGCAATGTGCCAACTTATCCCCGTTTTTTAAATGTTAAACCATATCATCAAATGAACAGACCAATGAGTCTTATTTTAAATTGCTGCTATCAGAGAGTCGATTCTATGTCGGAGCTGTCAATGCTACTAACCTGTAACTGTTTGGGTACAATAGAATTAGTGAGTAAGCGATATTCATAGTAATGAGTGTAATATGTTATACACTTGCAATTACTTCGACGCTTAATATGAGTGCGAAAGTATGGAGAAAATGACTGAATGTGGAAGGTGCTAGTAACCAGAGAATGAACAAAATGCGTCAATTAACAATGCCGTAGGTGTATTGAACCGTTATTTTGATTGAAATTTAGCTATGTAATATAAACAATTGATTATTTCGCGTTTAGTTTTTAATTTCTAAGCTAATAACACAAGATGATTGTTTTCGATACCGAGAAGGTAGTCGTATTCGATGCAATTTAACATTGTTAAGATCTTCCTGTTATAAAAAATAAGACAATGTGTATATTTCTATTGAATTCGGTTTGTCATTGATTATCCTGGAATATCTCCTCATAAATCCATTCATATACCTATGATTAATAACAAATGTCATCTATGATGTCAGACTAATAGAGAGAACTGATAATTTTGTGATAAGAATTTAAGAAGACTTCTCGTTACATGGTTTGAGAAAGTTTTTCTTTTGATAAATAAAAAACAAACATACAATTCTTACCTCAGACATGCAAATGTTGCAGTGGTTTTTTCGAACTCCTTCGCCTTGGTTAAACCAAGTCGGATAACCTAAGGTGGAAAGATAAAGTCGCTGTGACAAACAAACATTTAATAACAATATGAGGCTAGAAAATCTATTGGTGAGCATGTCGTTTTACAGAGGAAACTTGTGTGATACATCTTATGATGTTTTCATATTGTTTCTGTAATTTTACGACCTAAACATCTGGTTACACTGAATGCATAAATTTTTGTGAAGAATAACAAAGTTCAGAACTAAATTTGGGATCAAAATAACAGGTAAAAAAATCTAGCGAGATCAACAGCATGAACAACTTTAAAAAATCAACGTTAAAATTCTGCTTTTGGATTATTTACCTAACTTTTCCTCATTAAATAAGTCACTTCACGTATAAATATACTTCGACTGAAGTAAAAATATTCACATGTTTAGGACGTTCTGGTATATATCGTGACTGACTGCATCATAATAAAAATGATGTAAGGTGAATTATTCAGTAGGCGATTTAAAAAGTAGGAGTATTTAAGATAATTTAATCGCCATTCAAGTGAGTACAGATATGCACACAGTGAACTTTTGGGGTAAACTACAAATATCATTATTAATATTTCTCACGAAACGTAGTGTTTAACTAGATGGTTATTTAGATGTCATATTTGCTATTAGGTTGTAATGCAATCTTTGGATAATAAGGTCTCAGTTAAAGGATAAACTATACTAAAGATTTTATCAATTACACATAACAGTACATGGATTAAGATTACTATGTGAAATCCCGTGGAAAAATGTCTGGTCTCAAAGAAACGAACAGTTTATGCACATATAAAAAAATTATTGTTAAAACAATACATAATTTATTCATGAAACTCTAACCTTATCAGGTAGCATAGCTAAACGAGCTGCATTGAAGCCATAACTTTTTGGACATGCACCAGGAATAAATTTATACAAAAATGTAATATTTTCTAAATCATTCGTTGACTCTGATTCTGCTTCAACCATACAAGACTTTTTTATTTACGTATACAAGTAGAAAATAAACAAACAATTATTAGATACACGAAATTCTTATGATGATGATTTAATAAGAAACATTTTGAGTACATAACGCTCGGGAAAATACACTCACTCCCAAGACCTTTTCAATCTTAAGCATTTATAATGCAGATAGGAAATTTCTTGAAAGAAATCCGAACTTGCGAATGTAATTTGAACAAGTAAAAAATTTCCAGCATAACAAATTAAAAGGAAGTAAAAAAGGGGAATATATCTGGACGGATTCGATTATTCCAGTATGATCTACCGAACAATAGGACATAATAAACAAAATTGCACTGGAACCAGAATGCCGTAGGACATAGAACAACTAATTAAAAGCATAAGGTATTCCAGATCTAGAGAATGGTAGCGAATAGATTTATCTCTCGTTATGTAATAGATTTCGAGACCCACGAGAACCTTACTAATACTCCACACTGCTATCTCACGTAGTTCAGGTAAATAGTCAGTGGCTTTGTGAACTGGTGCCTTATTTTATTTCGGACATCTTGCAGTAATTTAAAATTCATTCTTAAGCAAGTAATACATGTGTCAAAGATGGTCGACATTGACATCAGTAAAACACCTCGATAACTAAATAGGAATTAGATACTTTTGAAGTTCAAGGATAAATCACAGTGCGTAGAAACAACTGAAATGTTGCTACAATAAACCGAAAAGATGTCACGTGCATATATGAATATTTATAATCAATCACATTAACATGCTTACCATGTGACCCAGGCCAATGCATAGATGGTTCATATCTTCATCGGAAGTAGATGGGTCTGTGTTAGCAACTTGATCTACCAAGCTGTGATAGTGCGTTGAAAACAGAGTCCTAGGGCCACAGCCATCGAAAAATCTTCCATTTGGTTTAGCTAAGTAAGAAACAACTGCACCTGCTAGGGCTGATCCGTCGTGAGTGGAAGTTCCACGACCTAATTCATCCATCAAAACAAGACTATGAGGAGTGATATGATGTAAAATAGATGCTGTCTCTGATAACTCCACCAAAAACGTACTTTCACCTGAAAGCATTCTGTCACTTGCACCAAGGCGTGAAAATATCCGATCCACAGGAGTTAGTTTGCATGACTTGGCCGGAATGCGACAACCCTAATAAGATATTTGAAACAATTAAAAAGAATAATTTAGATCAGAATCTTGTCAACATCTACAAAGAAAATATGGGACATGCAAATTATAATGTACAAATATTTATTTATCCCATTCTGATTACTCCTCACGGAAATTTATGGAAAGAAAAGTGGGATATTTATCATCATTAGTAAAAAGCAAACAATCCAAGAGGAGTTTGGTGAAACCAAAAACATAATATATAAGGCCACAAATCGGTCATGTTTTAATAGATATTTGAAATTAATATAAGATCTTTCACCTGGTATTTAAGAATATAATACATAGGGCAAGTATACACTTAACAGTTCTAGACCTGGAACAGATGTGGATTAGAGGAAATTTCGAAAAGTAATCTACTGCCGCTACTGAAACTATTTTTAATGCAAATAAACGATTACAATTTTTGTTGCACTGATCTATATTTCTTGAGCTGTCTGATAAACGTTGCCTACAGTATTGGTACATGTATATAGTATTTCGATAAAATAAAATCTACTGAAATACAAATTGAGGAGCAAATAGCCTAGTAAAACACAGATGAAATCAACAGCGAATGGTAAAGGATCGAAATAAAAGTGATACCAAAAATAGTGGAAAAGATAAAAAAAAATATGGTTTCAAGATGAATGTATAAAAACATATTAAAACTTAAATTCAAGAAGATACATAAAAAGTAAATGCTACCACACAAATCTGTCTGTTTCTGAGCTAAGTGGCGAAACGTACCCAAAGCCTGAATAAAAGCATTGTACAGAACGCTTAAAATATATGTGAAATATTCATACATTTTACAAAGTGAATACTATAGCGTTGATATGAATTAGCAAACATAAAAATATGTTTAGCTTTAGTTATATTAACAGAGATCCACACAAGTCTATTCACAGCGGTAATTAACATGTAGTTTGATGTAACTTACCGACACACAAATCATCAAAAATGAGCATGGTTTAAATTATATAAAGTTATCTAACCCATTTACCATATACATGTTTAAGTATTTGTTTTTCTGTTACACTTATTTTGCCCACCAATACAGATATCAAAACAGAATTATATGAAACGAAATTCAAAAAATTTAACAACATTTATACAAACACCTTACCGAAAATTAATCCACCATTACAATAAATTCTAAGTGAAATGTAAAAATGCTAGGCTTTTTACAACCTGATTATTACGGTGTCATTTTGCGGCACATAATTTAAATGATATAACATATATACACAAAAGAACTAGTCACAATACAACTCACTAAATGTGCTAGTATAACTAATAAAGCAGCTTGTCTCATCAAAGTTGATTTTCCACCCATATTAGGACCAGTAACAAGAATAACAGAAACATTGTTAAACGTATCACGTAACGTATGATGTGTTGGTGAATATATCATCGATGATGTTGTACCAAGTTTTATATCATTTGGAATAATATCTCCACCCGAAAATGTATTTATTAGACAAGGATGAATTCCATCAACTATTTCCAGTAATGGCTATAAAAATATATTTTTTAAATCCAAATTACACAACTATAATTTTAAAAAATGTTATTCTTATAAATGGATAATAATAATGTGGAATATATATATCATAGTTATTTTCTGAAGATTTAATACGAACACTTGGATTAGATATATACAAAAGGATTGGTTTGACTCATTATCTATTGTAATATCTTTTAACGTCTATAAATTACAGAAGATTAATTATAAACATTTTACTTAATTTTGTATACAAAATATCTTAGTTATCTAGATATTGAGATTGTTTGTGCAAATCATGGTCTTGAATTTTATATATACAATCACTTGAGTTTTTTGACTCTGAAGAATGTAGAAGAATACCAAAAGGAAGTTAGCCAGTTTTTTTTTAGTGTTCTAAATAGTAGATCAGGGACCGGTGGGTAATTTCCTGTAGGCTACCAGTCTTTTGGCATATACAGTAGTCAATGTCAGCAGACCTCATTGACAAGGCATATGAAAACCTGCTAAATTAACTAATTTGTTAACTTACAGGCAAAATTAACAGTGGTTCACAATTATCTTCACACTACATGATAGTAATTCCAAACATTTTACAAATAATGGACAAATATCGTACGTAATAGAAGATGAAATCAAACATACTTTAGTAGATGAATTTAGATCAATAAATTCTGGAAGACACATCACATCAGAGGCATTTGTACTGTACGAAGATAAAGCAATTAGACAGTCTAATTCAGCTAAACAAGACATAGCCATATGCCACTCGGTAAATCTAAGTATTAAAAATAACGGGAATAATCTGTCATGGATGGCTTCAAGATTTTAAATAAAGTATTTAATAAACAGTTGAAAGCTATATAAAAATGTAACAATAATTAAAGCGCGTAAGAGTTATCAATATTATCGCATCCATACCAAATAACATAAAATTAAACTTGGATTCTACAAACAGAAAAATGTCCTAGATTTGTGGCCACACAGGTTAAACATTAGCTATTACTTTCATCCAGTGTGTACATATAATGAGCACATCTAGCTTGAGAATAAAGTCTTCAAAATATATTTTCATTGATTACTTTATGTTCTGAATGTTATAATAGCAACAGCGAAATAATCATCAAGCTGACGATCACAAATCGGTTGAATATAAACTTCCCCACTGTTTCAAATTGTATTTGAATCGAATGTAAAGATAACTTACGATTCACTAAACGATGAAAATATATGTTGCATTATCGACCGTAGACTAGCGTCCTTTCGTTCCTCAGCAGCAGTTAACTCGCTTAGCCATTGTTGGGTCTCTGAACAAGTATAACGTTTGACACCTTTTCGCTGTGAAGATAACTGCCATGAGTTGGGAACACGAGATGCTAAAGATTCTGGGATTTCAATCTGATAACGATTGCGACCGGTTCCCCAATATGCAAGCTAAACATTTTAAACAACAAACCAGATGCAATGAATAAATTAACAAAATAGTCGATTAAAAGATAAAATGATTATGAAAAAGAATATTGAACGAATAAACACTCCTGGTTAGTAACAGAACAGAAAAATAACATGAAGGGAAACAGCTGTCGATATTATTAGGAAACAATGAAAATGAAACATTAACTCAATTACTGATCACAGATAAAACTGTACTTGAAGGTTATCCGTAAATTGTATGGTAGATTACCACTTATTCATAAAGTGGTGTGAATAAATAAGTTGGTATGAAAACAGTTCAATTGTTATGGATCTTGTTTAGTAAACTTATTAATTAACTAGCACACTACTTACGCCTGTTACCCCTCATGTTGGGGCATAGGCCGCTCACTAGAACTCTCCATCCAACTCTGTCCTGGACAATTCTTTCCAGTTGCTATTCGTCCTTCTCATGTCTGCTTCCGATTCCCGACGTAGTGCGTTCTTTGGCCTTCTTCTTTTTCGTTTCCCTTCAAGATTCCAAGTGAGAGCTTACCTCTTGATGCACTTTGATGATTACTTTAATAAATATCCTCTCTAATTTCAGCACCTTTTCCTAATTTCCTCCGCCGGAAGTTGGTTTGTTCTCTCCCACAGCAGCCTGTTGCTGATGGTTTACAGCAAACGGACACAGATTATCTTGCGTTGACAACTGTTTATAAACACTTTTATATTTTTAACGATGGTTGTAGTAGTTCTCTAAGTTTCAGCTCCGTACAGTAGAACTGTCTTTATGTTAGTATTGGTTGACAGGTTTTTTGAGTTCTAGGTGTTCTTCAACTGTAAGAATGCTGTCCTTGCTTTGCCAATCCGTTGCCTCCAAAGTGTTGAAGAAGTTTCTATAATGTTCACCTATCCACACTGTCAAATGCTTTCTCATAGTCAATGGAGTTGATGTATAGTGACGAGTTCCATTCAATTGATTGTTCAACGACTACCCGTAGTGTCACGATTTCGTTTATGCATGACCGATCCTTATGTAATCCAGCTTATTGATCTAGAAGTTGGGCATCTATTGAGTCTTCCATCCGGTTCAGCAACACCGTTGGAAACGTTTTCTGGTACTGACAGTAATTTGATGCCTCCGTGGTTCTCACATTTGTTTAAATCTCCTTTCTTTGGTATCTTGATAAGGTATCCTTCTTTCCAGTGCGTCGGCACTTGTTCTTCCTCCAAAATCTTGAATGGAACGTGAAGCATGCTTTCAGCCTCTTCTATTTCTGAAATCAGAGCTTCAGCTGATATATTGTCGGGTCCTATTGCTTTCCCACACTTCATTTGTCTGAGGACCATCCTGATTTCTTCGACCGTTGGTGGAGTGATATCTATGGGAAGGCCTATGTGTGCTGATTCAATGTATGGTGGATTCAATGGAGCTGGTCTGTTTAAAGGTTCCTCGAAGTGTTCTACCCATATGTTCCTCTGTTCTTGAATTTCGGTGTTTGTCTTGCCTTCATTGTTCTTGACCAGTCTCTCTGGTTCATAAATGACCTACGTTGCATATGTGATAATTACTAGAATATAAAAAATCCTACTATCTGTATCACACTAGGTAGATTGCGAAAAACGCATGATGAAATCTATACTCCAAATAAACAATTTTCCATTGAGCATTAATTTGAATGAAAACGACTTTTGCTCGTGAATGTTCGTCAATCACCGAAAATGGACAGTATGGAACAGATGTGTTTAAACTCGATTAGTCAAACTATGTAAACTTAGTGAGATGGCACCTTGGCGGACGATTTCACAAGGAAACATGTTATTATTATTATTAATGGCTTTATTCAATATTATAGTTTTGGTACAATATAGAATTCTCAGCATAGGTTATTTCAACAAGTTACTCACGCAACAACAAAAAAACAGTAACGAATACAAAAAAATGAAAAAGTTTTTTTGTAAAAAGAAAGAAAAAAACAAAACAACCGAGAAACTGTACAACTTTTAAAATTAAGGACATGTTAAGAATGCAAGTTATTGACTAGGTTAACTCTAACAACCTGTTCGTCACAAATTATATTTGCTAGGTAAGGTATTATAGAACTTTTATACTTTTGCTTGCGTGCATGGATTTTAATGTAATTACGTCTCATTCTACCAGAAGATATATAAGGAGAAAGATAAGAGTGAAGGGGATGGCTAGTATCTGATAAAATAACACCTGCCAGGAGTTTGTATGATTTTAAATGTCTATCCACAACCATATTAATTATGACCTCGAAAGATTCACCACACATCTTGCCAACTGCCTTCTGCACTCTCCGCAAAACAGCAAAGTCTTTCCTCAAAAGCCCGGGAAAGAATAATGGAGAACAGTAAAGAATAATAGGTAATATGCAAGAATCGACAAATTGTAAGAGTAAATGACGAGTAATCCCAAGAGCATGCAGTCTCTTTATGTAGTAGGTCAAACGGAAAACTTTCTTTGATAACAATAAAACGTGGGAAGACCAAGACAGATCAGAGGAAAAGGTGACACCAAGATAATTGACCTTCGACATTGTGTTTATCAAAGAGTCTCCGATGGTACAAGCATTATGGGATCTCAAAATGGTGTTTAGATTCCGTTCATGTCTCATGCTAAAGTTAACAGCTTGATATTTAGACGGATTAAATATGAGACCATGACCAACAGATCAAGAATCAATACGAGACAAAAAACTCATTCATTTCTATGGGATGTAAAGAGGAAGAGATAGGCATACATACAGTGAGATCATCCGCATATTTCAAAAGTATTTTCTGTGGAAGATGGCAGATCGTGCAGAAAAAAAGAGAAAAGAAGAGGTGAAAGAACAGCTAGTTGTGGCACACCTTTATGAGACAGCAGAGACTCTGAACACTTTCCTCCAAACACAGTGTACTGTTCCCTTCCAGAGAGGTAGGAACATAGCCAGTTGGTTATCCAGCTGTCAGTGTTGACGCTGATTAACTTGTTAATTAAACGTTGTCTTGGTATAGAATCAAAAGCTGAAGTATAGTCCAGAAAAGCACATCGAACATACTTCTGACCCTTTTCTAAGTTGAACACTATGTTGTGATGTAGTACAGCAACAGCATCTAAAGTACTTCCTTTGCGTCTGTAAGCAAACTGATATGGATCAATATGCTTTTTTATCCCAGGCTGAAGTGGAAGTATTAATAATTTTTCCATTGTTTTGAGGAAGGGTGAAGTTATTGCAATAGGTCTAAATTTTACATTCTTATCACCAGATGCTTTCTTGGGTACAGGAATTATCTTCATCTTTCTCCACATTTTCGGTATGAGATTAGATGAGAAGGATCTGTTAAAGATAGCTGTGAACGGATAACATAGGACGTCAGCACACTTTTTAAAAAGTATGTTTGGGATACCATCAGGTCCCAAACATCTAGATGAATTAAGCGACTAAAGACATCTTCGTACATTAGTCTCAGTGAAAGTAGGAACACAGCTATTATTTAAACCCGTGGATAGAGGGAGCATCACATCAGATGACTGGCGTACAAAAGACTTATTTAAGTCACAAACATTCAGCTGGTTATCGCTTTTAAACTGTCTGTCACCTGTAAGTTCTTTAAAGAGTTTCCACATACTTGGAGAGTTTTTGCAAGACAAGAGTTTTTGAGTAAACATACAGTTGAGACGTCTAATCTCTAGGTTTATCAGACCATTTAGCTTACGAATTTCATTAGAGTTCTTCTCCTTGTACATCCTTTCTTTCATTCTCCGTAGTCGTCTTAGTTGTGGAGATATAAGTCGATGAAAGCATACAAAAATGGTTTCATTTGGACAACAAATATGAGAACACAATTTAAGATAACAAATGATGTTTCCCAATGAGTCATCTGTAAATAATCCCCAGTTAGTCGTATGAAACATGTTTTTCAGATTTCGGATATTTTATTCTGAGTAATTCCTATATTTGACTTTCTTGGTTGGATGTAGGAGTGTACTCTTCCCATGCTTTCCATATACTTTGGGTAGAACACGAATTATACAGTGATCCGAGCTAGACAATAGAGCACGTTTACGAGTCACATATATACCCACATCATTAATGAAGACGAAGTCTAAATGAGCATCCAAACGGGTAAGAAAATCTACTACATTTTGGTGACCTAGTGATGTAAGGAAGCTACAGTCACATGAATTGAAATCACCACATACAACTGAAAGTGAATCACTGAAGGCAGTAACAGCGAACTCAGTGAATTCATCAGCGAAAACAGATAGTGCAGATGATGTGCAATCTGGAGTCACGTAGATATTGGTAACATAAACATATTTGTATTTATTCAGATGTTTTGGACGACATCTTAGAGTTAGACAGTCGATAAAGTCATTTGAAAACTTAAAACACACAAACGAAGACCGACACCAGTTTACGTTTACAGATGTAGCTACACCGCCACTACACCTCTTTTTATTGTTTGGTCGATCCTGACGATAAATTTCGAAATCACGTAGTGATACTAGGCAGTCATCCTGTAAATCATTCAACCAAGATTCTTGAATTGTGATGACACCACAATTACGATACATATTTTGACTAAGTAGGAATTGCAGATAGTCCACTTTGTTGATTAGTGATCGGCAGTTAGAATTTAGTAGCTCAGGAATTGACGTACAATTAATGTTCATTCTCTTTAACGCATATTGCCAACCACCACGATGCCTTTTATAGTACTTTTTCGTAACTTGTGCAGCGAAAGGTCGTAGGCCCAGATATTCAAGCAGGCCGCCCAGATTGTTTACGGAGTTGCCGGTTTTAATTCGTCAACATATACTAAAAAAATATTGACGCTAAACTTAGAATTCATTACTAACTGCTATCGACTACTGCATTATCACATCGATTTCGATTAAACTATCTAGGATCGATAAAGTGATTCATGAACTCTTAGAATATCTTCTATTTGTTGTACATAAGCCTAGTTTTCAGCTCCTTAAAAAAATTTATCTAACCAAATTGCTGTCGGCCTTTTAGACATGAAATCATATCGTACCAAAGTCTAAGTTCCCATTTGGCATTACTTTTTAAACGATATTTTCAGAAATATGAAAAAAAATAAACGGATTAATTTTAAATAAAAAAGGAAGGTCAATGGATATTTTAAATGCCTTTGGGTATATAAGAAACTATTTGCTTACCCGTGTACCGAATGTTTTGCTCCATTTTAATAAAAACCTGTCCATATCCTCAACAATCCTCTGAAAGCGGAAAATTATGAAAATTAAAAACTTGAAATTTTTTTCACACCCAAACTTTATTTGTTTATTCGCTTTCACTACTTATTATTACACAGTAGCTTAAATATTTGTATGACTTGTATACTGTTTGATGTTATGTTTCGTAGTCTCAATGAACGGTACTTATTTCTTATCTCATCATTCATTTTTTTGATCACATTTATTTGTTTTTAAACGAACTACCTAATTTTGAAAATCCTTGACATGTTTGTCGTTGATACTTCTGCTTGATATAAATATGTGCTGTTTCCTGAATGAAGTTTCTCATCAAATGTGTTCGTCGACATAATGAAACACCGCACAAATTATGATTCTTTGTTCATAAATTTTCAATATTTATTTTGTTTGCTGTGATGGTTTTGTATTTTAAATAAATCTTGTGTCCTGGTTCCGGGGTTGACGTATCACTTTGTTAGTGAGTTAAAATCACCGAGTCAATATGTAAATTTACTCGTCAAACTCGTTCAATTGATTATTACTACCATATTCGTTACTAATTTTGTAGCCATTGCATTCAGTTTCACGTTTGCTCAAATATGATAAGATACATTTTATTATCATTTACTACCTAGTATGATTATCTAATTTACTATCTTAATTTTGGCTGGCGCATTCACACACATGTAAATCTTTTGCTCCACACCTTAGATAATCGAGTAGTATCATTGGACCTCACTAATGCCTGTGGTTGAAAGCCAAGTTTTCAGTTACTGGACCGTGATGGATTTATTTCGAATTTAACAAAACATTTAAAATAGCTTTCCTCATATTAATGTTCCTAATACTGTGAGTTTTAATAAAACACAATCTCTAAAACTAAATTTGACTGGGTTTCACTGGAATGCTTATTTTTAAAACGAATATTAGACTTTCTTATTTTACACTCAATAATGTAAGTAAGCCGCCGTGATACACGTAGCTTCCAGAATAAATATACAATATGTTAAAAAAACCTATGAATACAAATCACACTAAAATTGAGTTGAAAAATATTAATAATAAAATGGGCACGAACTTTGATTTCCGACACAGACTCATCATATTCAGGATCTATACCAGGTTCTGGAATGATCCGACCTTCATTTTTAGCTTTTTCAGCATCGAAAGCATTCTATAAAATATATGACATGAAGAGAAATCAGAGTACTTGTGAAAATCTGTAGTCGAACAAAAGGAAACATAACAACGAATTAGTATAATTCATTCCATATTTGTAAGACAACACTGTTTGGACTTCAAATAAAAGCCATCCGTTTCCTCATGGAAACCCTTACATTTTCATTAGTTCTTTAGTGAAAAAAAAACAAATGACAACTTAGAAAAAATTCAAACCGTTTCCTGGGTTACAATAATTCAATATTAACTCTAATCTCTTCCAAATAACGAATTAGTAAATTCGCTGTTTAAAAAAAGTTGATTAAAGGGGGATTTTTATTAGTTGTCGAGAATTCCCTCAACAATTGACAAAGAAACTTGGACTTCAATACGAGAACCTCAAAATCCGCTAATTGTTGAAGAGTTACGAACGAAACGGAAAATTAATAATAATGAAACCTATTCGATATGGATAAAATTACAGAGTGAATGAAGACAAACTCGGTACATTCAACCGCATCTAGGAAGCATATGAAGTGTGTCAATCAGGTTCCTTTCATATTGCAGAGGGACGAACCTATGGAAAGTTGTATATTGGCCGGTCCAAGTAGTTTCGTTTTAGTAACCCATCTATTCTCCCTGTGTTCTACTACAAAGCTTAATATTATAAATCAATGACGTTTTGTGAGATTTCGCTTTGTCAAAGTATGAACACCTATCCTCCTCTACTACTTATGATAAGAGATTTGAGTGCATTTGAATTTTCCGCATAAGCACGAAATCTTAGACATTTAAAATGTACCTGCATACAATAAGCTATTAGCCACCATTTAACAAATCAATATTATGAGCAATTCTATAAAATGACAACGAAGGTAATAGCTAAAGACTGTGTCTCTTAATTACAGAAACTGAATTTAAAGATACCGTTGCATCCGAAATGAATAATAAATGGGTGTAAAGTTTATTTGATGATTAGTCCTTAGTACTTGACATTTCTATCAAGTAGCAAGTTATCATATAAAGGTGATGAAATGAACTGAGTAAGGGTGAATCAATGAAAATAACTTGAGTGAATACACTGACATGTGTTAAACGAGTAAACGTCCTAGTGGTAACAACTGACAAATGTGCCACAGTTCTATTTGGTCAAAAATGAAGGTTCAACTCTTCAACCTTCATAGGTTCAACATATCTCTTATCATTGGTGCAAAAAACTTGAAAAGGAAAGATAAAAAAGGGAAACAATTAAAACAAATCAAAAGGCCAACAGAGCAAAGTTTCCACAATTATAATTAAGCAGTTTAAAAGGCTAATAACGCATATATTTCAAACGTACTTTGAAATAATTTATTTTCTCACTGATATCAGGAAAGTTGCCGCTCAGGCTAGTTAAAGTTACTAATTTTTTCAAATATGCGGAGCTAAAATTACGGATTAAAAATACACATCAGACTTCAAGTATATTTAACAATAAACAAAATGGTACTACATCCAAGTAGCGGTCACTGATTAGATAAACAGATATTCAAGACAAATGAAACTGTTGTATTTACGATTTTTATGGTATGCCAGTACAATTTATAAAGTTCAGTCGAAAGAATGGATAAAATTATCTTGTCTATTAAAGAAAATATAAACGATAAAAACGATAACTTGACTGAATTATTGCTTCTAACATGGTACGCAGTTACTAAGGACACAAGAAAAGAGTGCAATTTTTTCCTCGTATAATGAATTTCCAAAAGAGGGTAGTCATTTCAAGAGATCTGATCTTGTCTCTCTGTTACACAAAATTACGGAATATAGAAAGTAACATTTGAAGAAATTAATTTCATTGCGAGATATCAAGTGTATCTCTCTAGTAAATAAACAGGACTGTGTGATAGGAGAGTATAAGGTGATCATCATCTTGTGTTTACAGAAGTTACATCCATAATGTAAACAAGAAATAAATTTCTAGGTTACTGGAGTATAGTGAAATGGTTTTCCATAAGTAATTAGTCATTAGTTTATTTGAATATTTATGATTAATGAATTCACGAAACAGGACTACCTAAAAATATACACAGTAAGTAGTGTTTCCATTGAAACGTAAGTTACATACTAATAAACTGTAATACAAGCAACTTCTAGGATTAAACTATTAGTCACAATACAGACACATTAACTGCTCATTTTTAATTGCGAGGAAAAGAATATGATTATATATGGCTCGTTATTGGCTGCGATGACTTTCCAGACGTGTATCAAATTACGTTTATACCAGTTTCTTGACTTCAAATCAACGTCGAGAAAATCAACAATATAAATTATTTTACTAAGCTCTAAATAATTTCAATCTCACTCAAATCAATAAACCTATTATGCAGTCCAATGTTAACAGGATTAATAGTGGCAATCTGAAAGTCGAAAAACTCTTCGTAATTCTTAGATCATATCACAGTACTTTGTAATAATAAATAACTATGTTATTTATCTTGTGATAACTTCACATAAAGTTTGTTAGGAAGAATGGTATGAGCATCAACCTGGTGTTATCGGTCACTAACATAATTCTGAATATCAGTGTTGCCACTTCATCAAGTGAACTTATCAATAAGCATGGATTTAATAAAAGGATCTTTTACTAGTAAACTTTAAAAAAAAAACACTTGCCGATCGAGAATATACTAATTCATATTGGCATAAATAATTTAAAACTAACCTTAATGAATAATGGTTGATTTCATGCATTATTTTATAGCTCAATTCGAAACCATCTAAAGTAGCCACAAAATCAGTAATATTTTTTCTTGAATATTGAACTTCTTCAAATATGATTGCCCTACTATCTGGATGGTTTTTATCACCTTTAGAACCCAATAAATGAATTCTGTAGGAAGGAAAATTATCGGAAATGTTCAATCGTCTTTATTGAAATATCAGTGTATTTTTAAGGTACAAAGTAGATTTGATTAGAAACAGAATATAACTTCTTAAAAAATCAACAAACAAACTTACTTTGTAATAAGACGCTCTAAATCAGGCAACTGAGCTAATTTGTCTCGAAGTTTAGGAATTATATCACTGATAGAAATAAGATTTTCAATTGCCAGTTGTCTTTGTCTAATAACATTTGGGTTGCATGGTGGAGCAGTTATCCACTGACGCAACAAACGACGTCCTTAAAAGAGAAATCGAAATGTGAGAAAATTGTGTTAAATACATATGAAACAGGAACCGATAGGTGTCTTTTCAATATCCATTAAGTGTTTAGGGTAACAGCAGTAATTACTTCTAGCATCCGTAAACCAATCTTTTTTTAAATAAAAAGATACTATATTTTAACCGACTTCATAATATGAAAGAAATTAGTTGAGTTTGTAGCATAGTAGTGACAGCGGACGTAAGAAAAATATTTTTACAAGAGTCATTTTGTGTAAATGGGATTTCTGGCTAACAATAAATGATCATTTCGATTACTACAAAGTTATCACATAAATAAGGAATACACGTTGCTTTTAGTTATTATGGTTAATTTTCAACTCGTCTCGATAATGTTTATGAAATTCGGCATTTTAAATGGTCAAATGTCATAACAAAATTATATTTGCTCTACAATTTGAGAGACTTTTCATAGGAATAAATTTATTATTATTAGTTTATAAAAAATTAGGTTCTCCATAGTATATTTTCTTTAATAAGTTGTAACTAAAGACTTCGATTTCTATATATCAATGTGGATGATTATGACCATAGAGTAACGGCATATACAATTATTGATTTTCGAGTAATAATCACATACAGATACAAAAATTTCTCCAATTACTACAATTTGAACGCATTTCACATCAAACGACTCATATTCACACATTAGGAATGATATTCAACAGTCTAACATGATTGGACAATCGTTTAATACATAGTTTTGGTGTGACATTGTTAAGATTATTTCTCTGAGGCTGGGATCGCACCGAAAGGCGAAACGTCGACGATATTCAATTGTTGTGATTTTTACAAACATAACTACAAGTATCTGCTAAACAATCGATATCAAACGATTATGAAACTAATTGTTCAGAACCCAGTTGGGGTCCTCGTGATTATCGTAACCAATGGTTAGAGATTTTGAATGACATGGCTCAAATTATTTGCAATGGAGCACGTGCATTCGTTCTTCATCTTCCGCCAAATCCTAAGATTCTTAAATTACTGTTTTATCTTTACTTCACTATTTTGTATTTTCTTCTCGAGTCGCATCTTCAACGCGGAATCTTTCCTATTACCACTGATGCTAACACTACATCTACTATACTGGGATTTAGCATAACAATTCCATTTCTCTGTGCTAATGAAGCATGACATCTTGAACCAACGTGCATACGTACCAGACTCTATGTTACGACTAACTGATTGTTCAACACTCAACGACATTTATTATAACCGCTTCTTGTTACATGTTATTTGTCTATATTCCGATTATAAAACAAATTACACAAATACAAACAATGACATACCAAAGAAGGTACAACAAGTATTGAGACGTTGCAGCAAAGAACCTTCTTGAGAACCATCTACATTGTTTCGTATGATATCCAAATTAGATAATGTAATACTGTCCAAAACCTGCATATATGTTTTATCCACACGACCAAAATAATTACTTAAACAGTAAATATATTGAATAATATGGTATATCGAAACGTAAATTTAGAAAATGCTATCTATGACAATTAAATGTTGACCAGCCTACTATCCTTTAAAAACCCCTTTTGTAGAAAAATATTAGTTTCAATCGTCAAGAAGTGGGCTGAAATCAGGACAAGTTGAGCTGATTCAGTATGTACAAAGGCTGTAGTAATCTGCAAAAATGTATTGTAATTTGCTTAAATTCACTTTCGATTGTTATAGCGTAATTCCAGAGTGTTGAGTATACTACTCTGTCTTAGCTGATTAGTACGAATAATAGTAAGAAATGATACTTTTATGAAGTATTTAGTGAAGACAACATCCAAAAGTGCAAAAATTAATTATAAAAACCTAGTGTTTTAACTCCGATTATAAAAACTCTATAGAAGCTGTTGTTTAACAACATTAATTTTACTTGATATATATATTTTTTAATGGTTAGTGGTAGAGTTACTCATGAAATGAATTACGTTTAGTTTAGAACTTGTCAGCTGAACGTATGTGTGCTTTAATGATGTCTTCACTGACACTTGAAATCAGTGCCCATTATCTCGCACATCAGATCGTGATTCACCGGGTTTCTGGGTAACAACTTTCATAAGCCCCTAATGTCCTGATATGGTCGAGAAGGAAGAGAATCCGATTCCATTTCGAAATACTCTCACATGAACTCACGTATACAGTCACTGCAATGTAGGTCCTACCCATTGCCTTCATGCGATGGGGGTGTTGTTTACGAAATAAAAAGGATGGAAAGAGAATTACTCCTTAACCGGATTAATGGATACAGAGGATCTACCTACAGGGGTTGGAAAATCCTGACTCAAAACCAATGGTGCACACAGGCTCCAGGATACTGAAGGGACAAATGGCGTATGAACCTATTGTTAGTCACCGGTTCCATAGGACAGCATCTTCTAACGTTGTTCCACTGTCTTGCGGAATAGACCTTTAGGTCAAAGGCTTCGGGTGTAGCCCCCTAAGAAAACTACCTGTTTAGGCACCCCTGCACTATCCCAACACTCAAACAAATTAAATGATGATCAATATTGGAGAAAATTATTGTTGCTTCGACACTGATTCCAACAAATCATATTCAAAATTATCTTTCTTACACTACGTCGCTTATCTACTCCCTTTTATTCTCATTATGTGTATCCTTTTCTTTTTCAACTTATACAGCAGCTTGCCTATGGTCGAAACCGTCTTATCTAAACGATATCAAGTCACTGACTGGTCGGAAGTTGAATGCTACCGCCGAATGAGAATACTGAAAGTTTTTCTAAAACCATGTACATCATTCAGACTGACTTCCTTCAACGTTCGCGCACTAATGCAGATCGGACAACAGATAGGGTTGGATATGTCTTTAGAAAGTATTAATATTGATGTCTGTTGTTTATCTGAGACCCGTATTCAAGACTCTAGTGAAGTACTACAAATTCGCTCTCCATCTGTCGACCAGATAAGCTTGTTTTACGTGCGTTTATACGGGGACCTTGTGGCATCTTTGTCTGGTTTTGCTGGCGTTGGTGTCGCACTAAAGTTGAGGAAGTACTGATCGACTAAATCCTCATTAACAGTCGGTTATGTGTTGTTAGATTAGGTTACATCGGAGTGCGAAGAAATCGGTGTGAGAAACCATGTCTTCTCGTCATATCCCCTACTCTCCGATAGACTGCTTTCCGGGTGCGATTATAGGTGAGTTTTATCACCAGTTAACCGTTCTTCTATAGAAAGTGAGTTCGACAGATATTGCAGTACTAGCCGGAAACTTGAATGCTCAGATCGGGCGTCTAGGTACGGAAAAGAGTCGTTTAGGTGGCCGATAGGAACTTGTTGGTCGCCGGTCAGGTAACTGGGACTGCCTACTCCAACTGTTTGCAGGTCACAGCGTGTTTCTGGTTAGCACTATCTTCTAACATAGTCATCGCCAATGTGTTACATGGCGTCCTCCCTCGGCATTTCAAGATCTCAGATTGATCACATCACGACCAGCTACCGCTAGCATGGTTGTGTACAAGATTGTCGCTCCTTTTGGAGTACCTATGTGGACTTTGATCATACCCTTGCTTGCGCTAATCTTACCTTACTTTTTAGTGGCCAACAAATTCATCGTCCTAAACGGATCCATGGTTGCAACTTCTGCTGCAACTAAATATTAGACCGAGTAGGTTTGAGGTAAGCTGTCATCCCACCAAAAAGTATAGATGAGTATTGGCTACAATTGCATAACGCCATGAAAATGGCGAGTAAGGTCGCTTGCGGCTTCGTAGAACTTCCCATTTATAAGGGCTGGGTTTAAATAGCTCTTAACAACTCGCTGAAGCACGTCGGTCTACCTCGGGTAACCACGAGTTTGACCATAAACGAATATTTCCAAGGAATGAAATTGTGAAAAGCTTGCTTAAGGACCGAGAAGACTGGTAGTCAGAACGCGCTAACGAATCGGGAACAGCAGTTTCATCTGGTAACTGCCGGAGGCCCTTTGAATTCATCCGAGCCACTGGGAGCATGAAGTCTGGTGTGAGTGAAACAGTCTGGGGAGCTGACGGGATGCCAACCAATAACATCTACCGAGGTCTTGGACGATGGACAGTTTTTCGAGTAACAGTTCAACTGATCTGCTGCTCCGGCGACATCGATCAACTTGTCGTGCCCTCCATGACCGGTGACGACTGATCCACCTAACGAGGCGGAATAGCGCAAGGAACTCCAACACCTGTAGGGCCACAAATCACCAACCCCAAATAACTTACCACCAGCTCTTTTTAAAGATGGTGGCGGCCTTCTGATTAAGGAACTGTCTGCATTGTTTACAAAAATTTGGCAGTTAGAGAGTATTCTAACATCGTGGAATGAGTCGATAATTGTTCCTATCTTTAAAAAGGGTTCACATTGTTTCTGCAACAATTATCGGGGGATAAGTCTACTTTCGATTGCACCCAAACTATTGGTTTCCATCATACTTCGTAGAATGTTCAAAACCCGATAAACATTGACTCGCGAGGAGCAGGTTGGTTTTTGTTCTGGTCGAGGCTGTAGTGACCATATCTTCATCCTTCACCAAATGTTCACTAGTGACCAGTTTCAAGACGGATCTCCTGGAATTCTAGTGAAAAGCCGTAACCAGCGGAGTTTTACCGTGTTTGTTGTGAAGCGGTTATTCACTGAAGACAATGATGGACGGTTGAAAAGGGGTACTGACACCGTTGGATGCCGACTCGTTGTTCTAGAGGTCCAGCGTTCGGGTGCGAAATCGAAGGTCCTGAGTCCGAGTCCCACGCTCGGAAACGCGAATGCGCACTGCTGAGGAGTCCCATATTAGGACGAAACAGCTGCTCAGCGCATCCAGGTTTTTAATGGTGGTCTAACATTGATCCATTTATGATGTAAGGGTGTTGGGGATGCCAGATACACAGAAACCACTTGGGAAACCTCTTATCATTGCAATTTTATTTTTGAAACTTGAATTTCTCCTTTTCGCGCCAAAAGCGCCCATTTTGACGCTCATATTGTATTTCCCACTTGGTAGGATCTGCAATGTGATTGGCCGATTGCTTTTTTTAATACGCTATTTTATGACGCTTCGAAGGTCCTTTTTGTGCTGTATATATACGTTTGAGTTGTGTGCTTGTTTTGTTCGTGCTTCTGGCTGCTTTTGGAATATGCCTTTCCCTCATCTGGAACTGGTCTTCTAACTCTGGTTAACGAGGCTAGGACGCATTGGAAGTTAGCTTGCCTCGTCGTGTCGCAGATTTTTCGTTCCGTTTGCCGATTTTAGGTGATCTCGTAATCTCTTCAAACATTGCATGGAACACCGCCATACTTATTGCGAGCCAAAAATTGTAGTGTTTTTCGACACTAGGGACGCCTTCAATTCGTTGGACAGGGCTGTTATCTGAGATTGTCTATTGAAGAAGGGTATGCCTGAGAAGTTTATTAGCATCGTTAAAGCCCTATATACAAACACACCAGGCAGAGTGAGGGCATGTAACCATCTCTATTCATTGCACCCTTCAAGCAGTGGGATTAGGCAACACTGCCCGATCTCACCATTCCTCCTCAGCATTTTCATCGATGACGTTCTGGAAACAGCTCTGATGGATGTAAGTAGTGGTGGTGTGGATCTGTTGCCTGGAGAAAGATTTTTGGACATTGAGTGCGCAGATTATATTGTCTTACTGTGGGATGATACCCAAGCCATGCAATCTGCATTCAATCAGTTGGCAATGTGCCCATCGGTATGGCATATGCTTTGTACCTTCCAAGTGCAAAGTACTTTTACAAAACTAGCAGGACCCTGAACCTGCACTCCCCCTGGATTGTGACAGATCAAGTAGTCGAAAATTCGTATATCTGGGTAGCTGTGTAATTGCCGGTGCGTGAGATGAGATCAATTCACGTATGGTGAAAGCCAAGGACAATCTGGCCCATATTTGACACCGTGATGTTACACTGGGTGTAAAAAAGTTGGATCAACCACACATCAGTGAGAGCAGTTTTGCTCTATGTTTGTGAAACCTGACCTGTTTGAGCTGATGATGTTAGACGACTCTATATGTTTGATCATCGCTCTCTCTGAAGGATTGCTGATATCCAGTAACGGAATGTTCGACGTCGTGCATTCGGGCACAGAGATGATAATTTAGTTGATGTCACCATCTCGAAACATCGACTTCCGTGGCTTGGACATGTACTACGAATATCGTCCCAGAGAGTTCCACTCTGTGCATTATTTGCCAAAGCAGGGACCGATCGGAAAAAGTGGAGAGGTGGTCAGTGTATGATGTGGTGTGAAAGAAAGCTCTACAGGAGTGGCTTCTGTTGGTCATTCACGACTCCCTGGTTGGGATCCTAGAGATGGTACAACACAGTGGCTTGAGACGTTATCAGACATGGCTCAGAAAAAAAGCCCATCGCGATCCTGCTGTAACTTTCTTTTACCTTCTTTGCAAAGGTGAATGTAACTTCTTTAACTGAAATAATTTTTTCTAGTTGTCTTTTTCTTAACTGAACTGCTTCTCCCACTATTATTATTATTATTATTATTATTATTATTATTATTATTATTATTATTATTAATGTTTAACTCATACACTAATTTCTGTTCATTGTTGTTCTTTCATTATACTCACCCTCTATCCTCTCTCTTCACAACCTCATTGTTATAGTGTGGCGCATAGGTATTCGGTGCCTTCTTGTACCAAAGTTTATGTGTTCAAATAAATAAACTTTCATCAACAGTTCTCAATAACAAAAGTAGAATACGTATTTCGTTGCTATCCACTACCCGAAGTATAATAAATACGTAAACGCAAATGATGTCAAGAAATTTGTACAAGGAACCGAAATAGCAAAAATTATTGGTTATTTCAGTTCTCAATATCAACAACGAAAGAAATCGAAACTCATATAAGTCATCAAATTTATTCTACGAAAATGCAAAACCTAAGAAAAACCCGGAAGTTAACAACGACCTAAAGTTACAAATTCAAACATATAAGTGTAAAAACTGTGAAATGAAAACAGATATCTTTAATGAAAAATTTCAAAAACAGACGATCAGTCTACGTTTGCAATAACTAGTAGCCACGCGGATAGAGAATGAAGGGGAAAATAAAGATAAGGATCTTAGCTATACCAAAAAGCTGTGATAAGATGGTGGTTAGAGGTAGTCAACAGGAAATCCTCGACCTAGGTCCCCTGTTGACTACCTCCAACCGCCATCTTATCTCAACATAGTGCACGCACTGTCGAGCCACATTGCAACTTGGTCGATAGGATTCGACCTGCAATAAGAAGGACCTGACATACATGACATTGATCAGTACCCAGTGATCAATCAATTGTAAATAAAAAGCTATGAGAACTGAAAACAAGACGCTAAATAAAAACTGAAGTATAAAGCATTTAGTTTCTCCAAAAAGAAAGAGAATGCACATAATTGGCAATTCGATTTTTTTTCTGTCATATACTTTGTTCTTAGTTGTATCATTAACCCTATTTACGAAGTCTGGGGCTGTTTTATTTATTTACTTATTCGAACATTGGTACGGTGTTGGAAGGGGTGAAGAGGTGGTCAGTACACATCGTCCAAACCAAATGTCTGAGCTTTTTAATGATAACTCGTGTGAGATAGGAACTCACTGATGACAATGGTGGGTGTGTCACTCAATTTCGTGGATTAGTTGAAGTTAGACATTAACACCGTTAGATGCCGGCTCAGTGGTCTAGTGGTTAAGTGCTCGCGCGCGAGACTGATAGGTCCTGGGTTGTGGATACGCACTGCTTAGGAGTCCCACAATAGAACAAAACGGCCGTCCAGTGCTTCCAGGTTTTCCATCGTGGTCGAGTTTCAATTGACTCATGATCTCAACTATTGAAATTACTACGATCTCCACAAAACCCCTTCTGATACTAATAATTCATGTCTTGACGTTATGAGTATAAGACTATTTTTTTTCTACATTAGTACAAACTATGATATGGAAATATGGATAGAGTAAGTTGTATGTACCGAATGGTTTAGGTGGTGATCTGACAATCGGAAACCAATAAACGTATCACAAAAACACAAGTTTAAAAGTGGCAGACTTAATTATCTTGGTTTTACTCAATGTGGTTAAATGTCAAAAGGGGTGTACAGAAATCAATCAATCGAGATTTAAGCTAGTTAATAATAAACACGTCAATTAATATGTTCTAGTACTACATCAATAGGAAAATCATCATCAATAGTTTAGTTTCTTCTTAGGACTGCGGAAACAAAATAAAAAACCACTCATTTGTTGTGTTTGATGTGTTTAGGAAAACTGATCACTGAGACAGCTGAAAACTCAGTAGTTGAAGATAGAGATCTAACTGGGATTTAAGACTCAAATGCATTTCAGAATTTTAAACTTACCATCTGAGACTGTGTATCATAAAATAATTCAATAGACCCAGGACTTCTTTGAGAGTTAGTATTCTTCATATCTATTGGTACGTATACATCAATGAAACCCAGTGATAGTACTTCACGATCAATCAAACAGTAACGTAAGTAGTAAATAAGTGCACCAAGACACCGAAATGCTAGTTCCCACTCTGACTTTACAGTACGTCCTAGTGGATCATCTGGTCCGAATTAAATAAAAAAGGCCATATTCATTAGAACTTAGAGAAGTATTACTGAGTATTTTAAATATAAAATTGTACTAAGTGGAGTTACAGTGAGTGTTATTTACTTTGTTGAAAATGTAATGAAAAAATCTAAAGATGATTTCACAGTCAGCGAACTAGGAAATTTAACCTACCCACTGGTTAGAGGTTTACTAAAAACGTAGAGGTCAAAACTGACATGGGTAGAATGTCACAGGAATAAGAGACCAATTTAAAAATCGTACTACATCTATACTATTAGTACATTCAAGCGAAAGGTATGACTGTGTAACACGAGGTTATAATATGCTGTATTAGACAGTGATAAATGTGCTGCTGGTTTTACTACCAGAAAGTCAATTCTCCTACTGCAGTAGATCCTCAAGTAAAAACATTATAGCTAATGTGATTTGGACTTTATAGCTGTTTAACGTGATAAGGACTGTCACTTACGACCAAATATAATCTCTGGTCATAAGAGATGTGCGTACGAAAACTACAAAATAAATAAATTAAAACCAATTCCCACACTAACTATACTGCTTTTTATATACTTGATTGATTTTTACTAAAATAAGGAATGAAAATTGCTTACACCACTATCTGAACTCAGACTAATGTATTCGGCTTCGAATGACGCTTCAAATCTAGGCGCTGTTCGTATCATCAAGAATTCTAAACCAAAGAAATTGGAATAAGATTTGAAAATCAACCCAATGGTTGAAAGTTCGACGTTTTAAATATTGAGTCATTATAATTAGTTATGACACCGAAAAGTCTTTCTTCTACTACTTACTTTGAGATGTGGAGATGTGTAGCTCAGGTGGATGATTTTGGTGGAGTTTTGTTCTCTGAGCTGGATGGATTGGTCGTGGAGCTTATATCTGAAGTTTGTTCTGATGATGTCGTTCAGAAGAACGATGAAAGCTCCACGACCAAACCATCCAGCTCAGAGAACGAAACTCCACCAAATACTACTTACTTTGGCAGGACGATTCTCAGAACACAACTAAATTTTTGATTGTGTTGCGAGAATGTCACTTCTTATTCAAAAGGATCAGTTTAGAAGATGACTGAGTGTGACTAATTCATGATGTATCTCCGACATCTTATTGAAGGTTCATATCTCCAAGATAAATGCTTGAAAACAATGAAAATTCAAATTGGAAATTGATATGAACAGACGACAAGAAAAACACTGAACTTTTATTGCATTGGTTGAAACATATAGAATAAACATAATCATTATTCTGCTACAAAGATTTTGACAAATCTGCAACTTCAAAACAGACTAACTAGAACGAAATCTGAAAAACAACATTACACATATCGTAACGAACCTTCGGATAACATATTTAAGAGAACATCTGGCCAACTTTCCTTGTCAGGGAACGAAGATACTTTGGAGACATGGTTCGAATCAACGGTGATGTTGGACATCCGTTTTGGGAAATAATCAGCTGTCTCCAACTCTTGGACAGTGTTCTTTGCACTCCAAAACTGTTTCGTTGGCGTTAGGAACTCAGTTGGAACACATGAAAGAGATGTTTTTATCAAGGATTTTATAGCTACTCCTGCAGTTCCACGCTCGATTAGTAACTGGTAAAAAACATTAAACCTTTTTATTAATGTTACCAAATCATCAGTAAATTAACTTGCTTGAGTGGTTGTGTGTATAGTGCCTTCATTTTTATTTAAACAAACGATCCAACCAAGCTGGCTTTTTCTGTTAGTTATATAAATTCCCAAAATAGTTTACTTAACTGAAGTATATCGAGTGATAAGGTTTCGAAAGCATCGGCTAGAACGGGAGGGGCGTACTACATTTGGTCTGTAATTATCTGGTTTTATTGAAGCGAAAAGATGAAATACCAGAGTGATGAGGCAGAATTCTAGGATAAACCAATTCAAGAACTGAACGTATGACTTGAAGTGAGCTTGTTGACAGTATATGTGAGAAAGCAGAAGCTGGTATTATTAGGTACTAAGCTAAATAGCTTGACTTTTTAGATCATTATTACAGCACGTGCCACTTATCTTGATTGAAGCCTCAGTTATTCAACAAATGCACATATTACTGTACTATCATTTCTTCATACTAAGCCGCGTATCATGGTAATGGGACGTTCATCGGATCCTGTTCCCAGGAAGAACAACTGCATAAATAAATCTCGTTTTAATTGTTAGTATTAGAGTGGTCAAATTTTTACTGATCAACTGTCCAACAACTGATTATTGAATACTACGAAAGATATTAACCGATCAGTCACCAATCTTTCAGAAAAGGGATTTCATCATATATACTCCATCCATATCAAACTCAGACTGGTAAAGTTATTTCAGACGTTTTAGTCTTTTACACCTATTTGAAAAAGAACTCAACACTTGACTTTGTTATCGTCGGTGCAGTATTTGAATCCTTAAGCTATGAAGAAAGAACAAATGAAAATTTCTAGAGCTTGTCGTTCAATCTTACTCTTATTCTGACATTTTCATAAACTTTAATGTGATAAATTTTAACTCACCGATACTTAACTATTAGATGACTAAATTTCAAGAGCATTAGAATAACTGTTAAACATACAGTTTGAAGTAACCTTTTGGTGAGCTTGGAACTGTACGCTTATAACGATCAAAAATCTCCTGTTTCTTATTGAGGATCGTCTGGACCTAAGTGGTATCTAATATTTAAAAACGTTGACTGAAATGTAACGGTTCTACTACCCTTTTAAGTAAATATAGATAATTCGCCTAACATCACTGAATTAAATAACTTCGAAAATATTATATAAACGGCTTAGCAATTAATTGCATCTGATGTTGACCTGCACATGAATATTCCATGTGGAAATTTTTAAGATTCATGGTAACGCGATTAAATCAATGTGGCTACAGAGAATCTAGTAAACCCCTAATTACATAATGACAAAGTCATCCACAAATGAAATAAATGTGAATGGAATATAGTAAGTGTAGAAATTTCGGATTCAAAAAGGAAGTAAATTATGACGTAAAACAAGGAACATCAATTTATTCGAATGCGACCGAGATCAAGGTATTTAGGAATAACATTTAAAAGAGAATTATTTGAGTAAACAATGTAAAGGGTAACACAAAGTGAACAGATGAGAACACACCAACGCTATGTATCTAACACAAAACAAAACGCCTTTGCACATCTTACCTGGTTAGGAGGATGGTGGGATAAAAATGTACGTAATCGAGAACAGTGACGATCATCTAAAAACTGACCAATCTACTTTGGTTGTATAAAACCGAAGGCAACTTACATTGATTTTGCCAGTGGATGCATTCAATAAACCTATTCCGAAAGCAAAAGGGTAACTTTTATTACCGTGCGATTCTACAACAGCAAGTAAAAATGAATCAGGATTGGCTAAGTTTATCAAATCCCTAAAGCTTTCGTCATCGTTTTCAACATCACCAGTTTCCACAGCCTTTACATCAGATATCTCTGACCTCGTACTGGCTGTGCAAGTACCCGGTGTTATAAGTTGACATACTTCTCTTCGCACAACCTTCTCGCTTGAAGATTTTCGTTTGCATCGTTCATTCATAGCATCAATTGATTCCGTTTGTTCAATGCGAGCAATCTTATAACCCTTGGTTTGAAATAACACATAAGAAACCTATAAACTTACTTTACGGACAAGCTGATCAGCCATACGAGGAAAAGCCACTTCAGGAAATCCACAGTGTGCAAAGTTCCCCTTCATAAACACCAAACCAAGCTCCTTTACGCCAATCATAGCATCCATGTGGTACATTTCATAAAACTTTCCAACCTTAAAAAACAGAATTACGTCGGTGTATCGCGACTTTAATTCCCACCACTGCCGCATGCCAGGAGTTTGTTTAGTCTAAAGTACTGAACAAAAAAACTCGTGTACAAACCTTAAACTCCTCTGGGACATATAATGTGTGTGAGTCATATTCTGGATGGTCGGGCCTTCGACCGTTGATATCTTTGATTTTAGAGGGTTCCAAAAATGGAAGGCTTAAGTGAGTCCACGAAACAGTTTCATCTTCAAATGCCTCATTGACCTGCGTGACTACACTCATTTCTAGAGAAGATTCGTCTGCCGCCTCGTTTATCTTTTTGCCATTTTGTCTGACCGGTTGCGGGGAGAAGGAATACTTTGACAACTGTAACTAAAATAACAGGTCAGTAACATCACTTACATCATGTTTATTTACCGCTTCTGCCTTCTCTTTTGTAAGAGCAGGGGCCTCATCTTCATCATCACTGGACTCGATGATAACCCGTCGTCTTTTGCTAACGGACGAAGTCGTGGGGCTGGACATAATCTAACATTAAATGTATTAAGTTCGAGGTGATGAACTTTACTTCATCATCGTGTCCAGTGGGTGGTCTCAGGCATACAACTGGAGAGTTTGTGTTTTTTGAGGATTCTGGACACATTTTGTTTGAATTTTCAGATAAAGGTTTAGGGGAACGCGTAAAGAATGTCAAAAGGCTCTTCTGCATTTTTTAGGATATCAAAAATTGTAGTAAGTTGATAATCAAGTCTTATACTAGTCAAATTTGAGTAATCTACAAGTCAGGGAACATAAACGAGTCATGATTAGTCAAAATTCACTAAGAACATTCAAAACTACCTTATAACCGCAAAGTCTCTAAAACCTAATTGAGCGCATTGGCACAAGGTCTGCTCTGTTGTCAGTAAAAAAGAAAAAGGAAGGTGTTCATTGAACAACAATAATATGTCTTCAGTCTTCAGTAATAAGGATAGAAGGTCTATCGACCTATATTAATCCTTGCAGTTTGTAGCACTATGAAGGTCCAACTCCCTTTTGAATATATCAACAGAAGGTGCTGATATTAGGTGTTCTAGTAGAGAATTTCAGTAATTCACTACTCGGTGCGAGAAACAAAACTTCAGACGTAGATGATTTGACCTCAGTTTTTGAAATTTCTTCGAATTTACTCTCAAATGATCAGTCCTAGGCGGAATGAAAAGACAAAGTGTATTAATACTAAGTTCATCGTTCAGTATACGATAAGCCAGTATTAGATCACCCCCTGTTCTACGGTATAATAACGGAAATATTTTAAGACGTCTCAGTCCAACTTCATAAGATAGGCCAGATAAGCCTTTTACCATCTTAGCTTCTCGTCCTTGAAATCGGTCCAGCATATCCGCTTCCTACTTGAAACACGGACTCGCTGCGTGAATCCCATATTCCAAAGTCATTTCATCATCCAAATACTGGGAAGACCTATGAATAGACCATAATAACCTATGGCCTTTTGAGGCAGCAGCCTCACAATGACTCGTAGTTTTGAGATCACTGCTTAGTATGACTCTTAAATCTTTGTAGTTTCTTATATTGGGTAGCACGAATCCACATATTGTGAAGTGATACGAATCATCATAGTTATTTAACTACATCACCACAGTCTTGTTAGGATCCACTTTTAGTGACCTCCTGTCCATCAATGCCACCGATGAGCCGAGATCATCGCGTAATACTGTTCTATCTGACATGCTGTGTACAGTCATAGACATGTATAGAGTATAAAATAATGGTCTGTAAGTTTTGTTTTTTGTTCTCGTGACTTGGTTTTCAATACATTTGACATTTTAGTGATGAGCTAGTGTCATCTAATCGATTTATTTCCACTCGCATTTTAGTAATAAAATAAAGTTTCGTGCATTTCGCACTGTCCAATAAACCCAGCAAAGCTTTTTGGTCACAGCAGTTCAAAAATTTCATGCAATTAGTTCCCTTTATGAATTTAAATAAAGCAAGAACAAATATTGATGCAGAATAGTATGAATTCACAATATTTCGAGGTTTCTCGTCAGCTGCTTAGAACCAAATATGTAACAGGATTTTACATTGTTTTACACTATTTCTTATCTCAATGTAAAATTCTATTACATATTTGGTTGAAGCAACTGACGACAACAGTTCAAGTTGGTTTGAAAATTATTTGAATTTTGGTTGTTTGACTTATGTTAAAGTATAGTTGGGTTTTTAGGATTGGTCTGCCGTTCACTTGTATTTCCGGAAGATTTTGGGATTATGGTGTCATGGAGTATAGGAAAGGCAGAGAACTCAGCAAAAAAGTATACGTATTTATTTGCTGGATGAAAGACTAAAGAAAACAAGTCAGCCCATATTTAGAAACAACTAGCTGGAAATATCACTGAACTGGTATTTAAGGCGGGAGTTACAAGTAAAATTTTTAGTGCTGGATTTTAACGACATAGCTGGTAAGTGCGAAGCCATGTTGTCTTGTCATCGCATATGGTCAGTGAGCATGTTGGGTAAATGCTAATAGACGATAGGTGCGCAAATATTTGTCAAGTCTATTGAAATTAGTTAAAGAGGACGTCCTCCGTAGTCACAACCAATTAGATAGCATTCAAAGTAAGGTCAATGCGCAATAAAATATATGTGACTCTATAAGTGTCTTCCATCTTCGCGTCGCAAGAGTTTGGAGGCTGTTTTGTTAACAGGCAAACTGTCTGTATATGTTGATCTCCAATTGCATCTGTATTTGCAGGCTAACTAAAAGAACAGAAAAACAACAATAGAGAGGAGGGATTCCAACTAAACTTCCGTTTTGTTTGTTAAGAAAGCCTTTGATATGGTACCTCATAATCTGCTAATGAACAGACTTCAGTCAGTTGAAATTATAAATCCTTTTTTGCAATGGATTGTCTTTTCTTACGAACAGATATCAAATAACAAAGACTAACTCTACAACATCTACACCTCGACCAATAACCAGTGGTGTTGTTCAGAGTAGTATCTTCGGTCCATTGCTCTTTATAATCTACACCAACAATATATGCAAGTGCTTTAGCACAGGTAAGACCTACCTCTATGCCGATGACTTAAAAGTCATCTATAAAACTAACATTTGCGATGTACGTAGTACTATGCAAACAATCCAACATGAACTCAACATGGCAGACGACTGGTGCAAACGCTGAAGGTTAGGGCTCAACATAGAGAAGTGCGGCTGGTCAAGTATAGGAAACACGTCTCTTAAAACACAACTAACACTCAGAAATCACACACTGCCCAGACTGGCATCAGTAACTGTCCTATGGGTACACTGCTCACACAGTCTTGTTTTCTGTGAACACATCTCAGCCAAAGCATCTTAAATGCGGAAATCGCTTGTCTTCATTCTCCGTAATTTCTAGCACAATGAATCTAAAATCCTTCTTCATAAAGTTTGTGCAAGATCTGCTCGTTCTTATTTTCCAACCTACGCCTATCTCATGTACTAAAGGTGGAAGGAATACAACGAGACTTCACCCGCAAAATATTTAAAACTGATTCAGTCATTGAATACAGCTCCCGATGCCAAGTCTTAGGAATAGCACCCCTTTGGGAGAGAAGGCTTAGGTTTAATTTGATTCTCTACTTCAAACCACTCAAGAACCTTACTTACTCAACATGCAAGATAATTCTTGCCCGAGATTCACATGAATACGAACTTTGAAACAAAGCATCTACCGTCAAAATTGAGATATACAGATCAAAAACTCGGGAAGACTTCTTCCTCACCAAGTATGCAATAATATGGAACAGTCTTCCCTCCGAAATACGCATGGCAGATGAATTACATACGTTTGTTAAACTGCTTGATCAAGCCCTCACTTGCACTGATCTCCCACGTACGAACACATCTGCGTCCCACTCAGACATCATAGGCTCTCTACATGTCTAGATCAAAATGGACTTCAAGTTCAGTTTGCCTTATGTTTCCTACTTTGCAGTTATATTAGTTACTTTTCCCACCCTATTCCTTCACTTGAAGTAGACGGGTAGCTTACTGGACCTATCGATACAGTTCAACTAAGCTCGGTCGCTAAGGGACACTCATTACCACCCCAAAAAGTCAAGAGGATCGCACGATCGACTGCTTACTACCAGTGGTCTTGCATCTATGGAGCCTGTTACCAATCAACTAGTTACGGCAACACAAAATAACATCAGCACCAAGTTAATGTGAGTTTCTTCCTGTTTGTCCTGTATTAGCTTTTTACTCTTCTGTACAATATGTTGACTAGCAATTAATATTATTTCTCCACTCGTTACCTTATCTACAACTCATATACTTTTCCGCCTGCCTTAATAAACAACTATCCTACATTATACCCTTCTGAATGCTTATGCTCTGATTGGCAAACTATACTTTATACTATAGTCAATAGAAGCACTGCATCGATGTCCTACCCACACTCCATAACTTGTAACTGCCTGATAAGCTTGTAAAACGGTACTAATAGAAATAGTGTTTTCCAACGGGCTGTGAAACACAGAGGATTGTGTGAGGTATGACATACATACAAAATGAGCCGAACACCACAAAAGGAGGGAGGGTGGAGTAACTGACCTGCAAGCATTGATGATGAGGTCGATGACTTCAATTCACCCGTGTTTGTCGGGGCAGAAAATTGTTTTATGTATCAGGCTCTTTATGACTGAGAATAAATCAATCAGTCTGTGATATAGATTGTCTTCCTACGCTCACCACTCAGATTCATGTTTCCAATTTTATGCTGGGTTAGCTATTCTACTGAAACAACCTATGACATTCTAACTAGGACTTTTACACTAAGATTGTGTGGCTGGCATCGCATGGACGAAAAAAGAAAAGAAAGAAAAAATTAGACAATAAAAGCTATGGTCATTAGTATTCTTAACACTTCACCCTCTGTGTGCACACTCCTAATAAGCCGCTTTCCTTGTGACAACCTTGACTTCCCTTCCTTCATGTGAGCTTACTCCAACTTGTTAAACGACACAACTCATTGTTCTTTATTACTACATGCTCTAATATGGAGCCTTTGACTTCATTTAACTTTAACAAGAGAATATGAATTTAATCTAATCCATTATACCTCTGTCTGTTCTACTACACAATGTTAAGCAACCTTTGGCGTCCATATCCAAGTGCCTTGCTGATCTCCTGGTTCTCTTGTTTTATTCTTCAGAATCTTACTCTGAGGGCACAGCTATGAAACCTCTGACATCTGGAACACACTTGACGTACGAGTCTCCCCAAGGTCATGGTTTACAGCAAGCGCTCTATGAGTCTACTTTATAACAACTTTAAACTTAATAAGTTGGGAAGAATGTTGTGCGCCAACAGATGTTGCAATTTATAGATCATGCTTGTAAAAATGGCGTGTACCTGCACATGCAGAAATATATTATTATTATCATTATTATTAGTAGTAGTAGCAGTACTAGTAGTAGGAACTGTGTTATGTTGTTTTATATGCTTAATACTTTTTGATGGTCCAAACTATGTCCGGAAGTGTAGGAAAATAAAAATGGTTTGTGTAACATTAACAGATCCAAATTCCCTCGTTATGTAAAAAAATGATATGAAAATATCTTTTAACTTAGCGTCAAGTTTAAAGGTGCACTGCTGAGTTACTATTTTGAGCACTTGTTTATCAAACAACAATGCTATATTTCAATGGTTGAGATAATGAATCAATTGAAGCTGGACCATCATGACAAGCCTGCAGCACTGGACCACTGAAACTACTATACTAGCTACAAAACCCTTCTGATATGGATCAACATTTGCTCGCTAGTGAATGACTTCAAGAGGTATTTACTGGAGTTCTGATGAGAAACAGTGACCAGGGGAGTTCAACCGGGTTTGGTGTGAGATA